GTACTGAGCCTGCTGGTTCAGGCTCCTTTTGTGAATGAATGGTGAATGGCTGGAAACATAATCTCTGGGCTTGTCAAGCACTGGCCTGCTGTTACAGCACTTACGCCACACGGGAATGACCCCTTCTTTGACCATACTGGCGATGACAGTGCCCTTTCCCTGTATCATTAGTACTAACTTTGCACCTGTATGGGCAAATGGGCTTGATACCAACCCTGCTGGAAAATAATAATGCTAACTCCTCTCTGGGCCCTGCTTTCTTTGGTTTGGGGATTTTGAGTTTGTTCTGAAACTTTTCTTCCACCTGCAGTGCACTGTCTTGAGGTGAGTAGGCTCAGAAAGGTTCATAGAGGAGACCCTCTGTTACAAGTTACAGAAATAATGGTTTGATGCGCATTGCAATTATAACACTGCATGGTCAAAATGGCAACATGGAACCAGAAATTTTAGCCCCAGGTCTCTTGGAGGAGTTTATCTGTCAAGTGCCCCTGTGCTCTTGGTCTTCATGCTGGTAAACTCTTACTGGAACGTTATTTTGCTTGTTTCTTTTCTCTTTGCATGAGACAGTTTGATAAAAGCAAAATGAGTCTGTCCAAACTGCCAAGAATACCAATGAGATTGCACATTCTGTAGAAACTTGTCCTGTGCTTTTCTTCATTTTCCAATTGTATTTCTTAAACAAAATCTGTTAAAAAAAAAAAAAAAAAGTTCAAATTAACGATACCATTATTCTATCATTCAGCAGAGCTGTACACTGGGGCTGAATTGGTCCATAAAGAATGAAACCAGATCAGCTCTTTTTAGCCTAGAGTGAACCATAACTGCGTGGGAAGAGTATTGTTTTCAGTAAAAGCAAAAAACCCCAATGGGCATATTTTTTCCTCTGTACTGCTCAGCTGGTATATTATACATTTGCTCTGAGAACTTTGGAGCACTAACTAAGTGGGTAGACAGAGAGAGTGTGAGCTGGCAATCTTTTTCCCGGTAATTTTTTTCTCTGTTAAAGGTGCCCCTGAAATTCCACCTAATTCTCTGCTTTCCTCCTTGCTGCTTGTTATGGTCTCTCAACCCAGCAGCAGCCCTGGTGCTAGAGAGAGGAGGCTTGTACTTCCCAAGGGCTGTGCAGCAGCCTGCTAGGGGTGAAGCACAGTGTGTGTGTTCCTGGGAGAGACCTGCCGGGCAGGAAAATGCACTTTCTCCTGACGGGGTCTGTCCTGGATTGCACAGTACCGCATGGCTTGTCTGAGTCTCCTTGGCAAGCCTGTCACCCCTTGGAGAGAGAGCTCCCACTGAATGATCCACATGCTGTGCCAGTTCGGTGGGGAACGGAGAGAATTGCCGAGGGCGTACAGTGGCTCTGGTTAGAGAGATAACTTCCTTTGAGAGCAGAGAAAATTTAACTGAGAATGATCTAACCATAGCCAGCATTTACTCATTTAGAAAAACAAAAAGCAATGCCAGCTGCTTTGAGGGTGCCTCAGAATACATGGAGGCTTTTCCCAAACAAATTTACCTTCTTACCTTTTCTGGGAAACATAGAAGAATGTTGAAATCTGTTCTGAAATGGTGGATGGCATCTGGAAAGTCCACCTGTGTGGCCCTGGGAGTCCAATGAAGCATACTTATTGAGATGGAAGAAAAGGGGTAACACTGTTGGTCTCCTATTAGTAGTAGAGACAGTGAAGTTAACCACTAGAAAATTGGGTTCATTTGTGTCATACCTTGTGCAGAATTCAATTTTTTTGTACAGTTGCCTACAAAAGTATTTGACATATGCATGAGTCTGCAGTAACTGCACATATTACGCCCAAGGTTTTTTTGGTATACAGCCAAGCACCAGATAAGAGACTCGTGCCACTAATCATTTAAGCAAAATTTCTTAAGCACTGAGCAAGGTTTGAGCTCTGCAGCCCTCATGAGCAGCGCCGACAGAGGGTTGCAAGCACATTGGGCAATTCCTGAAAAATGTACTGCTCACGCCTTTCTGTGACCCCTTGTACCTAACAGATACATGAACAAGGCTTCTGCTAAGGATATAGCTCCATGGAGACTGCTAAAGCTCTTCTGGGACGTTTTTAGTTGTTTCTAGATGTTTTAAAACAAAATTTGTGTTCTTTACTAAAGGCAGATGGTTCAGTTCACACAGAAGGAATGCCAACAGGCCAAATGTTTCTGCAGCTTTTTCACAAACGGGGTTGATGAAATGGCCTGATAAAACAAGTTTTCTGTTAAAATCAATTAGAGTTTTCCAGGAATGATAATGAGAGTTTTCTGAATAAGCTGACAGTTTAATTGGGAGCTTGTGTTAAAACAGGTCCCAGAGAATATGTGTTTTGCCAAATAGCGATTCTGACCTTTGTTAATTTGCACTGCTTTTCCTATAAGCATTTGTCTTCCTCGTTGTTATAACTGATACGAACATCTTTGGCTTAGACTTTCTATTATATATTGTCTTTTTGCAGCAGGGTAACCCATGCATCTGAGCCTGGGCTTTCTCTCGCCCACCAAATCCCGGCCCAAGGCATAAGCCCAGGGGGTTCTGACCACCCCCAAACAGGGAGTCGGGATCACAGGTCAGTCTCACCTGCCCCTGCATTCTGGGCTGCCATTTTATCCCGTGAAAAGTCCCTTCCCTCAGTATACAGTAGTTTCACTGTGGCAAAACACCGTGACTGCTTGGAGGTGCTCCTGCTGATGCAGCGCTAGCTAACCTTCCTCCTCGCCAGCCTGAGGAGTACGAGTACTCTTGAGCCCAGGTCTTTGCCTTGTTGCATGTTGCGCTACAAGCCAAATCGAGCCGTTGGTCTAGCTATAGGCTTACGTGTAAGGACACCTGTGTTTTAAAGCGGAATTTCTCACTCAAAGAAAATGCGGATTCTGGCCATTGCTAATGAACAGGTGGCCAGGAAGATCAACCTGAGAGCTTTCTAATGGTATCACGTAGTGGTCTGCAGTAACTCAAGTTTAACCTTTTTGTAACAGATGAATTGAGGTGGTGAACGATGGTCTGTAATACAACCAGACCCAGGAAACCCTGCAACACGGTTGTGGAACAACTGCGTGCTTTGATACCACATTATACTTTGTTTTCTAATACAGGAAGCCAGATTGGGAGTGTTTCATGGTTACCAAAAGACCCTTTCCAATGAAAAAACGCAAGTCAAAAGTACTGCAGCAAGTACAAGAAAATGTGTAGTCGCACCTACAATTAAAGCAGAAGTTTATTAGTTCCTGGTGATGCTGGCGTCAGCCTGTTGCTTCACTTGCGGTTCATCTGTTGCTGCTCTACCACTATTGACATTTTCTTTCTCTAAGACCCCAAGCTGGAAAGCATAAAGCACTCCTGATTCCTGATAAATAAGCGAGCTGAGGAAGCTACTTAGAAGCACTTGTGGCTGAGGGCGAGTACTTTCTGAGAGCTGTGGCTGTGCTTGTGCGGGGCGGGGAGGAGAAGTTCCAGAGCAAAAAAGGAGCAAAAGAAGTCGAAAAAGTGCTGCCGCTTTTGTCATCAGCGTGGTTTGAAATATGGTGGGGGTTGCACGACATGATCTGGCCTAACCTTTACTCATCTGAGCAATCCCTTGCGAGGCCTGTTCCCATGTGTGAGGTCACTGGAGTCACTGTCGTAAACAAGGGTGGTGAGAACTGGCCCAGAAATACAAAAAAATAACTTAAAGAGGAATTTTCTTTCCCTTTTCCTTGGCTACATTTTTTTTCCTATTTCAGAGTGTGCTAGTCTCTATTATATAAAGGTGGTGATCACAAATAACCGTTAAACTGTTGCTATTCTTATACAACAAGAACAGACTTTAAATTGGACCAGGCAGACTCCTGTTTCTACATTGCCCTTTTTTCTTAACATGACAGAGGGGGAGGAATTCACTAATCTTGTTACTGGGGGCTAAGAGAAACCAGTTACAAAAAAAAAATTTCTTCTTCCCTGGTAATATTACTGTCAGATAAGTAAACACTGTCTTTATTTCATAGTTTTCATGTAATTAATATGAGTATGCAGCTCAGACTTTTTTCCTAAAAAGTGTGGTTTTGGTATTAAGATTGCTTCTGTAAAATGTGAGATAACTCTGCAGCCCACCTCCATTAAAGCTTCTTGTGGTCCTACCAAATTAAATGATCATTGAAAAATCAGAGGGTTATTTGCAGATAAGTGTAAAAATTGCCACTGTAGTGGCAAACAATTCAAGCCTTTTAACACACTGAGGCCTAAATTCATTCCTGTAGAAAGGGCCAAGCCCACATTTCTGTGCTCATTAAGCTATTATCTTGCAATTTATTCTAGATGGGTGCAAATGTGTGTCTTTAACAAGCAAACTGCAGGATTGGAGCCAAAATGCCCCTTCATCCTTATTCTGAGATCATGAGAGGAGTTCAAGCCATGAGCTTAATGCTGGCCCTCTGCATAGGAGTGAATTTTACCCTTAAGACATTAAATGAATGATGTATCCCAAAGAGTTTCCATATTAATCAAACATATGAGTCTTGTTGTAGGTCAGATTTTCTCATGCAGTTGTACACGTTGCCTAGTCCTCACCCAACATTCATACTGATTTATTTGCCATATTCACTTGCATTTTGGGGATGAAGACATCCTTGCTAAGCTTGTGCTGTGTGTTCTCAGATTTTCTATTCTTGTTCTTCTGCTTTCTCTGTTCCTTCCATTGCTTTCTGCAGGTATTTAAACCCATGGTTCAAAAGAGAATATAATGTAGCTAAGTGGGTAGAAGATGTGAATAAAAACACTGAAGGACCATACTTTAGGTATTTTGTAAATTAATTCTATATCATTTTTAAGAGCTGTTCCAGCATATACAAATATCTTGGGACTCCTACCTTGTATAAATCAATACAAGTTACTGTAGGTGCAAAGGGCCTCTCTTCTTTTGCTGCATTTTGGTGTCTGTTTTTGGCTTCATGTGCAATTTACAATTCTTTTTCTGAATGTTTTAATGAAGCCATTGAAAAGGGTGTGTGTAGTGCATGCGTTCCCACCATCATCTATAGCTTGTAGTAGCTTTCTCATCATTTTATGCCAAGTAGTGTTTTATGGGCATGAGACATATTTATCACTAATAAAGTAGTATTAACTTAAATAGAATGTAATTTACTGAAGCAAGTGGTTTCATAACACATTGACTCTACCCACTGTCTTATATAGTGCATACTAAAATTCACATGAAAAAAGAATAAAAAGTAGTGATATTTTACCCTCAGCATACAATGAAATAATTAATATATTGTAATTGGAAAATTAAATGTATGAGAATATACTCTGTGCTCTATTTATCAAACCACTAATGAATCTGTTACAAGTGAGTGTAGGGTTCAACCAAAAATATCACTTGCTTTTGAGGGAGGAAAGTGTGTATTATTTGATACATTCCAAGTTAAAGAGAAGAAGCATGCGTGAGGCTGGCCTCCCTGTTGTACATGAGTCAGGAGACTGAGAACATTTTAGTAGATCCCCAAAAGACACAAACCCACACCTGAGACAGAAGTTTGCATCAGCTGAAAAAATCAGCTAGCACAGGAGAGAATGGAAGACAATTTATGACAACTAATATAAAACATGAAAGAAATTTATGAAGCTGTAAGTTGACATATCAAACATTAAGCTGAAACAAGAATTATAGAAACACAAAGAAAAGGAATACAATGCAAAATCTTTAGCCGAAACAGTGAAGGATAGTAAGAAGGAGTAAATAGAATCTTAACAATAATTTTGTGGCATTAGTAGACCTAATGATAGTGCAAAAGGGCAGAAACATTCACTAAATATGTCTGGTGTGTATTTGGGAAAAAAATGTGATGGAGTTGTATCACAAGATGCTGATGAAACACTTCTATTCCAATAGTAGCACTGGCAGATATTAAATAGCAAAGTGGGAATTTAGTAATTTTTAGAACTAAAAATGTCCCAAAGTCTTAAAAGAGCATAAAATTGTCACTTTTTTAAACCATTTGTGTTTGCTTTCAAGAACTCTGAAGTCACAGAGTAAGTTGCAGAAAGGCTTTCCAATGAACGAATAGGGCAAATGAGGTAAATTTAAGCCTTCCAGTCCTGATCTCGGTCCTGAACAAGGAGTAAAAATCCCTGACACAAGAACCCAAGGCTTACGGGAGGATGTTGTGATTTTGCCAGCCAGTATCAGCCACGTCTCGGTGTTGGTGCTTGGACATTCAGGCAGGGTGTATTGTGAATCCGGTAGTTTCGCCATTGCTGGTTTTAGCTTTGGGATACAGGGTCCAGTTCTGGTGTCTACAGTTCAGCAAGCATGTTCAAGAACTGGGGAGATTTAAGTCCTAAGAAACCTTAGAAAGGACTGCAGGGCCTCAAGCTGTTCAGTTTAATGGAGCAGCTAAGTGCTTACCTCATCATAAAATCCACATAGCTGCACATGGAGCAAAACCTATGTGGGAAGTCCTTTAGACTAGCCGACTGAGACTGATAATGACCAAAAGTCACTGGAAGGTGAAATTAGGCAAACTCACACTAGAAATGAGGTGTGTTTTTATTAGCAGAGCTTTTCCTAAAAGTACCCTGTGGACCTTTGTTGTTCAGGCAAGGCCGTCAGTCACTCACCATAATGTAACCCCATAGCTGTCTTTCAGGGTGTTTGTATCAGAAGCTCTGTGGTCGCAATAAACAAAGACATTGATGCAATACGAAGACAGCACTCGTTTAAAGTGTGTTACTTTAAATGGTTTAGTTACACAGGTTTAAATTCCTGTGTGGATACGCTTAATTTGGTTTTCATCTTTTAATATCAGTATATCTTGATGTAGTAACTAGATTAAATTGATGGCAGCGTACCCTGCCCCTGAGGGTTTTCAACCATTGCACTGAATGAGTCACATTTCCAATTGTATTTGAGATAAACCAAGCATTTTTTGCAGGTAGATGTGGACTAAGCTGACCCATGTGAGTTTTAAGGGCTGTGTATCAGCAGAGATGAAACAAATTAAAAGTTTTACACCACAGAAGCTTACTAATGACTGCCTGCAGCAGTAGCTTTAGAAATGAGAGAGAAACTAGAATAAATTTAGGAACCTGTATGTCCTAATTAAATGAGGTAACCGTGGGGAAGTATTCTGCAGGCACATTATGGAAGGCAAAGGATCAAATCTTCTCCCGGGATGAGTTACCATGGGCTTATGAGAGGTTGAACTGAAGAGTTTCTCCTCAAAACTCGGGTGCAATTTTGGTTAATCTGCGACAGACTGGAAAACAGTGTTCCTAAGAATGGTGTGTCTGAACATCGTTGGCTGGTTTTGAGCCTGTGAAGTGACTCATGAACAAAACAAAACACATCTTGTTTTGTAAACCAGAAAGTCAGGCTGAAGTCAGGCTGTCCAGCTGATACTACATTTTAGGAATCATAGCCCGAGATAAGACATTTACATCAGCTAATTAGCTGAGTAGTATTTTTGTTGCTAATCATCTTTGATTTCTCTTTTCTTTTAAAGATGTTCTGAAAGTAACACTGCTGTTTTGCTTGTTTCCATATAGTTTTAGGAATAATGTGTTGATGACTGGTGCTGTTGCAGGTAGAGTTGAAGTAGAATCAGATAAAAAGACAAAAAAACTTCCTACAATTCTTAGGAACACTGCAGATTTGCAGAAAATAGGGATATTAGTCATCAGAAAGACTTTCTCCATCAGCCTGAAAAAACCCTGTATAAGTCACAATTTGTCTCTCTGACACCTGGTGTCCTAGTTATTAATTTTTTTCCTAGTCTACAAGTCTAATGGGTATTTCTATATAATTACTTTTTATTAATGATAATAATAATAGTAGTTGGTGTCTCTGGCGCCAGAAAGCTCCCAGCTGTGGGATTCCCTTCTGTAAGAAAATAAGATCTGTAAAGAAAAATCTTATTTTACTGCTCAAAGCCTAGGCTAGATTTTAATTTTACATGCCAGGCCATAGCTGCATCACCCAAGCAATAAGCCCAGGCAGGAAATCTTTCCCTGATTTCTCTTTGCTGCAAGGCATGCTGTTTTACCAGTGTGATACTGCTACTTATTTTTGTTAACTGCCAATTACAGTGGCTACTGCGCAGACTGACCTTATGAAATACAGTTAAGGATTACTCAAAATCCTCACTGGATCTTGAAAGACTCAGGAACCATGATGGTATCAGAAAATAAACTGTCAGAATCCCAAAATGTGGCATTTCTGTAGATAATTATAGACAGAAAAGACTAGAAGGCACCTTCTGAAGCACTGAGCTGCCTACATTTGATTTAATGCAAATATTTACAGTAACTTAGATTCTGTGGGAGTTGTTTAAGTATAAAAATAGTTTACAAAGAAAACAGGTTTTTTAGATGGAGACCCAGGATGCATACCCAGAGGAAAAATGGCCATCCCATATCAGAAAGGCATTGGCAAGGAGCATGGAGGGCAGGCGACAACACACTATCCATTTCCCTCCTGTTTTTTCTGTGCTTTAGTTTCTTGCTTTCTTCCTCGATTTCTTCGCAGCTCCTCCTCAGCTGATCGTTAGCCAGAGTTGGCTCTGCTGCTCTGTGAGGTCCATTGCTTTCCTCTGTGAGCATCCAGCTGAGGCCAGAGCCGTGACCAGCCATTAGCTCCCTGCTCTCGCTGAGGCAGCTTTAGACTGTGCTTAAAGAAAAAAAAAAAAAATCCCCATTACAACCAAAGCAAAATATTGTCCTTGTTGGCAGCCAATGAAAAAAAAAAAAAGCCTATTGACATCAGTAGGATCAGGATTTCATTTCAAGAGTTAGGGAAAAGAGTTCATTAAAGTGTGTGAGTGCCTGCTTCTGGGGCATTGCTGTGCAGTGCTTAAAGCGGATGGCTCGAGCCACAGCCTTTGCCTTTTCTGCAGCCCCCCATGAGCCAAGCCTCCCCTCTGCTGCTGCACTTTCTGAGGAAACTTGCGCACATCTGTGTTTTTTAAAAGGAACTGCATTGAAAATGTTAAAATGTTTAGTCACATCAGTGTTTTTAGAAGATCCCAGCTTCCTAATGTGGGATGATTTAGGCTGATGGTGTCCTGCAAAGAGCTGAACGTACGGCAGCAAAGGTCAGGTTAGGCTGACAGTATATACGTTTGGGCTTGAAATGCTTTTGCCAGGTTGAATGTTAAGGGAATATCATTAGATTTTTTCAGTCTACGAAACGGAATCAAGCACAGCTTATGAACAATTCAGATCTGTCAGGGCCACCTGCCTTGAGTTCAGCTAGAATGACGCTCGAAGTCACAAGATGTTTAGTTGTGTGACCAGGTGACACGTTTTACACCGTCTCTTGTGGGCCAACCCTCTCCCCGTTTAGGTGACAAGAAGGCAGAGCACGCAGACGCCTGCCTGCAGGAGAGCGCGTGCAGATGTCCTCCCACTGCCACAGCGTTTCGTTGTGAATCCCATCATGGTCTCCCCACACTCTTAGTTTTAGCTTCCAGGACAGAAAGGCAGACATGAAGTGGCCACTACATCTTACTTTCTGGTCAGAAATGAGAATTCTTGCAGTGCGTTGAGGTGCATGGCTTTATTTGGGGTTGGTGGGAAAACCTCTGAAACTGTCACGGCGTGTGCAGGGCAGAATGCAGTCTGCAACCCAGTCTGCTTTGCTAGTTTTTTGTGTAAGTTTCAGCTGGAAACAAGATGTGGCATGAAAGCTAATGGATGTGATAGCAGGAGAACTGAAACCCCAGTGAAAGCTAAATGGATCCCACCCTTGACCAAACTGCAAAGTTTTGCCTACCTTTAACCCCAGCATTACCCGCAAGTGTCCCTGAATGCTGTCCTTCTTCCATCCTGTAAATGAGAAAGGTCATGTCTGGCACTTTCTCATTTAAAGTACATGTAAATCTGGGATACACAGCACATACACAATTGCAGGGCAGAACCTGAAAAGTGATCAAAACCACCTCAAACAACTAAGCTTACCACACAAGACGCATCCTAAGACCTGTGAGCATATGCTTAATAGTGATACATTTTTACAGTCTCAGTAGATGGCACTAAAGATGACAAAAACCAGCACATAACTTGTGTAGCAGAAATAAGGGGCGAGGGCCTGTGAGGGGAGGGCAAGGTCATTTCTTTTAAGTGTGCAACTGCATTCTGGATGTATTTAGCTCTAGCTTTACACGTGCAGGTGAGCAGCAATGTGCACATCAGTTAGGCGTGCAAACCATAAGTGAGCTGGCAACACGAAGTGGGGTTGAGTAGTAAGAAACGTAGGCAGCTACACTGGAGGTCTGGGCTTCAAAATCTTTTGGAAAGGCAGCATTGTTCAAGTTCTGGTGCAAAGCTGCCTGGCTACAGGCTCAGCTAGGGATCCTGGTCAGAGGACCCGCTGTGCGGGGAAAATGTTCAAGATGCCCCATCGTTAGAGGGGTTATTGCTCTTTCCAGGATCGCCTACTCAGGCTGATGGACAGGTGTATTGGCCATGGCTTTCCCTCTCACCATGGCTTTCTCTTGTGGTGCCTAAATAACCCATGGGAAGAGCCTGCGGTGTGCAGGAGGCGATGTTGTGCCTGGTTGTGGTGCAAGGGATGGGAGATGCCTTCATTCTGTGTGCCACCTCCTGGCTGTGGTACCTATATAAACAGCTTTCTGATAGGGCTTGCCAAGTCAGATCTAACACCCCCCCCAGTTCCTTGCTTCTAATCTCCAGGTGCATCGTTATAAATTTAAACATGAAGATTTTAAATCCTCCTGCAACTGTGGGGCAAAATTTGTGAATTATTGGATTGCTAATAATATGTAAAATCTGCTGTCCTTCTCTTCCCCTCTTCCTCCTCTCTTTTTTTTTTTTTTTATTCTAGACCCACTAATAGTTTATTAGTGATCTTTATCAGTCTAAGTGTGGGCACAGATGAGAGGACTTGTAGGGGTAGTGAACAGCAGGGACATTTCCCTGGCTTTTTTTAAGAAAATCACCTGTTTTGTTGCATGTGCAGTTTGGTGCCCAGATCTGTGATGCCGGACATATGAATGCTTTGTTTTATACTGCAGTAGCTGTTCAAAATTTTCTTCCTGAAAGCGGTCATGTATGTCCAGTTGATCTTAATGGGTGATCAAAGTGCATGTGCTGAAGATGTACTCTTCAGTGTTTGGACAATTGTCCCGACCTAAATCCTTTAACGGCTGTTGACCTTAGAGGCTACAGCATAAGGCATTAGAGCATCGTGAGCCAGATTGGAGAGCTGTCACCATATAATTTCCATTGACACCTTGTTGCTCGTGGCTACCATCAGTCATTGTTTGTATGGGAGACAAGAGTGTGCTGTTGTAGGGAGCTACAGAAGCAACAAAATGATACAGTAGTCCAAAATAAAAGAAAAATTATTTAAAGGTAAATTAATTTCACTTAGATAATAGAGATATAAAACAATTCCAGACACAGAAGAGTCCCTGCCTTGTCTGTAATCCTCGCTAGATGAAAGGACCTGATCCTGCAAATCCCAGCGCCAGGATGTGGGGCTGTCTGCCAGGGGTGGGTCTGGTGGCTCCTTGGTATCAGTGATGGTGTTCATCGCTTGGGTCTACAGCTGCACAACATGCAGCCCCCTGCTGTGTTTGAGGGGCTTGGAAAACCTGTCTGTAGAAACCGAGGGAAACCTTCCATCTTCAGGGACACATTAAGTTCAGAAGATAGTAGGCAGCAGTGCTCAGGGAGGGTCTGGATGATGTTCCTGCACTAGTGGGAGGCCTCCTTTGAAAAATGCCCTCAGTCTGCAAAACGGAACAAGGTGGCCAGGGTAGCTCAATTTTTCTACTTTGAGGCTTTTTTTCCCTTTTATTCTGCCCAGATTTAGAGCCTGATAGGAACCTCTCAAGTGGGAAAAGTGCAGAATCTCAAAACAGAAGCAGAAGAGTTTTTCTTGGGTATAAAATTTCAGTCAATAATGTGCTACTGCCTTATTGACGTGAAAAGAATGCCTTTCATGTGATACAAACATTTACTTGCTCCTGCTTACTCTACTCACCTTGTACAGAAATGCTGATTGCCATTGACTATAATCAGTCCATTTTTGTATATTCTCATCAGACTCTTTCTTTGGCTGGAACAATATGCACTGTATGATGCTTGCATGTCTAATAATTTGTTATTAGCACTTTGTATATGCCTTTGTTACTTCACAACTAACATTTTGGCCTCCAAGTGCATGCATTTGTGTAAATTAATGTGTTATAAAATAATAGATTTAGTTGCTCTGTTTGCATCAATATAGGAGATGTGTAAGATATACATAAAGACACTGATAATTGCCATTTAGTCACTGGCAGCAGACATTGTTCAGCTTGTATTTATACAATCACTGTTTCTATTTAGGCTTCATAATACCATGTCTATCTTTTAGTTCTGTACTTATTCAATTGCACATTTGGTTTGTTAATTTTATAATGATTAATTACAGTACCATATAAAACAGTTTAAGAAATTGTTTTTGTTATGCAATATAATTCTATTAAGAAGTAGAAAATTTTATTTTTTCTTCCAGTGTTCCTGAAAACTATAAATAACTTTATTCATATTACGAAATTACTAGATTACTGATCAAACAACTTTATCCCCCCCGATACTGAGCTAATAATAAGCTATATACTTGGTTCTGAACCAAGCTTCAGAGTAATGGCAGTTGCTGTTGCAGTGCTAGGACCCGAAGACATCACATTTATTTTGTGTGTTTCAACATCTCAGGACACTGTCTCCTGCAAAGTCTCCATCTTCGTCCACTGGATCTATTGCTTCCAGCAGAAAATACCCTTACCCGATGCCACCACTTCCTGACGAGGAGAAAAAAGCCAACAGGCAAAGTGCCAGGGTATGTGTCCCTCTTCTCTGTGCCTTTCGTCAGCGACTTGATTTACTGGTAGTTTTTCAAAAGGAAGGCATGGCAGATCAGCATCTTTGACTAACGGTGAGAGCAGCAGTGGTATTTCCTTTGTACCCTTAACTCCAGAAGCTGCTGAAGGCTGAGCCTCTGGCAGCAATTAGGGCAGCCTCGGTGGCTGCATTTACAGATATCCGTTCAGATTGCTCTTAAACCTGCCCTGAAGCCCAGATTTCACTAGTTGTCTTATTTCAAGCTGGGAGTGTGCCTGGGGCAGCTTTCGGGCTGTGGAGGACGGGCAGCCCTGGAGCAGGCGGTGCATCTGGCTCTCCTCTCTTACCCCTTCCAGGGGGCTGATGCAGGCAGCAGCTCTCATTCAGGCTGGGCGATAGCGGCTTTCCAGCTTTATGGAAAGGAAACTGCATTGCAGTTAAGGAGGATGTGGAGGGCTTGTATCAAGCCCTTGCAGACCTGGAACGACTTTGCTGCCACATGCCCTGAGCCCACTCTGGCCCCCCAGGGTGGGCAGGAACCGCTGGAATGTGCTGTGGATGGTGATGCCGCACTGCAGGGAGAGATTTTCAGCTGATGCCGCAAGGCAACGCTTAGCTGTTGCTTCCTTTCTGTCAATTCAGACATGGCAGATACTTGAATAAGCAAAAAAACCTCTGAAATTTACTTTAGGAGTTTTACTTGTGATACTTGTGATAGCTTTAGTTCATGTTCCTGATGCAGATGCGATTCCCATCTCTGCTCTCTGTCTTTTTTTTCCAAGAAAAAAAAGAGAGTGGAGCGCTGCCGAGGGGACCCGCGTGCTGCTACCCCCCCGTCCTGCGAGGGGCAGAACGTTGTGCGAGGGGCAGCACGGGGTCTCCCAGGCACATGTGGAGCAGAGCAGCTTGGAGGAAGGGCTGCACTGATGTTTCTCAGCCCTGGAGCTGCCTCGGCACCAGCTCAAACCCACGGCAGAAATTCATGCTGCCCTGAGCAGAGTTAGGCAGAGGAGACTGGGAAATGACACCAATATTTGTTAGCATAACTGTAAGGTAAAAGCTGTCTAATACAAAGCTGATGCTGCACTGACATTTTTGCTTCAAACTCTCCGCACTCCCAGCTGTGGACATTTACTATGCCGACTGCAAGTCATGCTGAAATGCTTGAGACTGCTGACTTTGTGGTCTGAACAGATACCCACCAGAGGCTGGGAGGAGACCAAGAGCGTAGCCTTGGTGTCCGAAGTGATGTAGATGCAATTCCCCAAACAATCTCCTCACACTGTGTGGGTAACAGCCTGCTTTATCTTGGTGGTCAGTGTGTGTTTGTGTTCCTTTTCCCCCTCTCCAGCTATGGGAGACGTCCATTTAGCCGCACTGTTTTCCTGGGGTGACATCAGAACTGTTTACTTTGAATTTTATAGAAACTCAGCATCACTGAGTCATTGCACATTCATCTGCTCTTCAGACAATTCAAAAGATCAACAGAGATGCCGTGATCACAGTGAGAACCTCCTCTCATCTGGAAGGGAAAGAAGCAGTCTTTTTTTTCTTTCTTTTTTGTTGACTGGTATTTTATGGATTTGATGAACAACCAAAATCATAACAATTAACAGGGGATAATTAGCCCGGCCGTGACAAGGCTGTTCCGCATGACGACAGATACACTTACCCAGAATCCCAACTGCAGTCTGTTTGCCAGTCCTGCGTAAGAGGGGTTTTTCTCTGGTTTAATGCAGTCCTGAGTCAGAGCAGAGTGGAACTGGGAAGGCGCCTCCTGGAGAGCCCAGCCGATGTAAACTTGTACGCTGTATGCATGAACCTTGGTGTTCTTTACTTTCCACATGTAAGGGATAAACAACATACTGTCGTAGAAACTAGCATGCAGGAGTAAGAAATATAGGATTTTTTTTGTGACAGGATTTCAAGCTTTGAAAGGCAACTACTTGACACAAATGTCAAACAAACAAGGATTATATCTTTTTTTTTTTTTACCGTACGTGTTTATAATCTCAGTATACAGATTGTATATATGTAAACATTTGATAATGTCAAAAATAGCTGTTATACATAAGTGTATTTTGCCAAATGCCTAAAGAAACAGTCATGACTAACATCATCACACTTCAGATTTTCTAATATTACGAGCAGACAACTTTGGAAATACAGAAAGTACAGTACTGTAAAACTGTGTCTCTCAGAAACTGGTGTTTGACCAAAATCTGTACTATCTTTTCAGTATCTTATACTGTCTTGACAATCTCAGTTGTATGGTGGACTGCAGAAACCAGTACAGCAGCACTTTGTCTTAAATCATCGTAAGAGGAACCAGCCAAAATCCGTTGTTCAGTGAGATGACCAGTGTATCCTCTCACAGGTGTAATCGGGAATGATTCGGCAGACAACAGAGACAGAGGCTTTAAGTAACGTGCAGTCCAAGCTTGCTGGACATTTGGGAATACTTCTAAGTAGTCAGTTCAGGATGCGGTGATGTGAAGTCCTTCTGGTGAGAGTTGCTGTGTATTTTTGATAGAGCATTTCAGACACTGTTTTAGATGGCAAGGCGTAGCATATGGGAAGCATAACAATTTCACTGCACTAGATAATAACAGTGCTGGGCAAGCAGCCAGTTTCATTGCTGTCTCTTAATTTGTATTTGTTACCGGAATCGCCTTTACCATGCGCTTGAATGCTATGCTTGCTGCCCCTGAAGCCCCCTTGTCAATTTTTTGGGGCATCAAACTGAGTACAAGTGAGTTTAACCTAAAAAAATGGGGGGGGGGGAGAACAAACCGTTTACCATGGAGATACTAATCTTGTGTATAAGTGGACGGTTAGATTTCTAACACCTATGACTTCTAAAGGTTGTTGTAAAACAAATGTCTTTTGATTGGGAATTTTCAGTTAGTAAGAAATTGGACCATATTAAATCAATTTATAATTCTCCAGCTTTCCAAAATTGACTAATTCTTAGCTTCAGGTAGTACCATTGCAGAATAAAATACCGGATTCTGTGCGGTGCAGTTGAATACCTTGCCCAACAGCTGTATGATCAATTAGATATTATTGTGATGGGAACATTTACAGTGTTTCTGAATCTTCTACCTCTTTCATGTGTTTCCTTTAATAAGTGAACCCAACACTTGCAGCCTTTTAATATATTTTTTTAACTTTAAAGTCTCTCGATAAAGTCAAATATATGTAAGATTAAATTAAGAAATGTTTAAAGATGTCAGCCACTGTAAAGTATGTAAGATTTTTAGAAACACTATATTTTATGATTAGGCTGTGTGTTGGATTATTACAAAATACTGGCCTCGGAGTTCAAATGATTTTCCTTCACAGGAGACAGGTTCTGGTAAGTATTTTGGAGAAAGACAAATATGAGTGAGTACAAGTGGATGCAGACAGACCATCTGGAAGGAGCCAGTCACTTGTAATTGCTTTAGGAAAAGATTCTGCACTTCCGTGAAGAGTAAATATCTGTCAGCACTGAAGAATATTTTTTGCAAAGATTTACTTTGAGAGTAGGGAACTGGACTAAAGATAGTTGGTAGCGTATAGCTCATTCAACTGGGGCCTGAGCCATCATCACTTGAAATCAAGATGTCTTTTACTGATTTCCCTGGACTTTGAGGAGGACCCTCAAGGAGTTCACCCACGTTAGGACACGATGCTCACCCAATAGCCTCTGTGTTGCTCTGTCGCCTGGAAGCTGGTTTTCCCTCACGTATTAGTATCTTGTCTTTAGTAACTAGACTGCTCATCATGTGCCTTTTATGGTATTTTGTTTGGATACAAACTGGCATGTAATTTTGAATAATCTTGTTAGATTTCTGTGCATATTTTATGTTTACCACTGTTTACTCTTCCCTTTCCATTTTGCCTTATCAAGAAGCAGCAAGATTTGGCAGACCGAACTGGATATAACATACTGGCTCTTTGTGTAATGTTCATAGCTTCTTGTTTTGCAAACAAATGGCTCTCCTGACTGTATTTTCAATGTAGTATGTACTTTCAACTCTCTCTTGTTTTGGTATAATTCATTTGTAGCCTATGATGATGCAGTTATGTGCGTAGTGTAACAGTCATTTCCACATTTGGAGATATGTAGTGACTGGAAGTCTAGTTATGAGCACTCAGTTCAAGTTCAATAAATATTGACTTTCACTTTGATGGTCTAGAGTGAGAACATCACAGGACTTGGGTTTTGCAAAGTTCTTCTGCAGAGAATTTTGCATCAGGTTGGTAACTTGGAGACCTCGTCATTGCAGAAAACCTGAACTAGTTAGGGGCGTGTGAGCCTCCAAAGCCAGCGGAGGTCAAAGAGAGAAGTTGTTTGCTTACGTTCTGTGGTTTCCTACTTCTAAAATGTAGTGCGTTGGAAAGCTGCCAGATTAATAACCTTGAAGACTGCAAATATTTTTATCCACTGTAGTTAGTTACACTGGCAATAGCAATATAAATTGCTGCATGATACCTCATCCAGTCTAAAACAGAGTACTATGTATCAATAGGATAGCTCAGTCATTTTGACTCATTGAGACTCATGCTTTTATTTTGTTTTTAATTTTATTTTAATAAATGAACTAGTTGTTGCCAGCTATGCTGTAGATGCCTGTTGAAGCGGGGAGGTTATCAGCTCTTCTCAATACATTACAAGTAATTGTCCCTATGAGCATAGGACCTGCAGGATGAGGGTTATGTATTTCGACACATGGGAGAAGAATCTTGTATCATTTAAAACAAAATTAATATGACTAACTGATGGAGACTGGAAAATAGAGATCGGATCCAAATAATACTGCTGCACAATGATTCCGCAGTTTAACAAGTAAAAATTTGCCTGCTAATTCTGAATTTGTTGACTTAAGAACTTCAGTAATCGATACTATAGACTTTTGGTGAATGTACTCAGGCAGTTTACCAGAAATGGTTGCGATTGATTGATAATTTACGTATAATTTTGTTACATTTAAATGAGTAGTTTTGAAGAGGTTGTTCATTTTACACAGCCTGTCTCTGCGTAAGTTGTGAACTTAAGTCGCTACTTGCCAGTTACCTCATTGAAAGTGTGACTTGGCTTTGAGGATAGCTACTTCCAAATGACTTAAGAGTTGTGTTCCTGGTTTATGAGCGGTTGAACCTGCTAAGCTGATGTACTCATTAGATAGTTTTGATTGTGCTAATGAACAAATGGACCTTTGGGTTATAGCCTGGATTAAAATCAGAAAGAAATGGTGTCAATAGCTAGTGTACTGAAGCTCTCATACCTGAATCCCTGTTGCTGGTTTTAAATGAACTGAGTGGTCTTGTCAGCACCCAGGTAAAAAACCAGGGCTAAGAACAGGTGCATACACTATTACGGGCATGCATATACTACAGATTCTGACCAAATTTGCAGTTATTTCATTGCTTAATGAGTAGGCTAGGAGGTAATGGGAAACAATGACGAGACTCTAATCCTATGGGATAACAGGTTAGCTCTTAGGACTTGCTCTGTCATCAAATCCCATACTTAGCTGTTGTAAGCAAACTTGCCGAACTGCAGTGTAAAACTCAGCAAGCTCCTGTTCTCTTCCCTTCTGTCCCCTTTCCGCTCCTACTGAAAAGCATTTCCATGAATAATTACATCCACTAACAGCCTCTTGCGTTGTTTGGCTAAGATCGAGAAGCTGCTAAGTTGCCTTTCCACACAATGTCCTCGATAAGTTTTTTCCAGTGCTGTCAATACATCTTTTGCTCTTGCTACAGCGTAGGTGATGGAGACTCATGTCTCATGTGCAGTTTGCACTGGTGAAACCATTTGGCAGCTCAGCCATCCTGTGTCTTTCTCACCCTCTAGCACTGTTGAAGGCTAAGCCTCTTTAATCACCGAGTCTGTGAACCTAAGCCTTGTGCTGTGTCCTGTTTCTCTTGCTCCAAGTCTGAAGATCATCCATGTCTTTCTCTAAGTTACTTAAGTATCTGTATCATTAGCAGTCTGTTTGGGCCACTGTTGTCAACCACAGTGGGAGGTTATTTACCTCATTTTTAAAGAGCTTGGGCATTCTGGTCCCCTCTGAAGCCAGTTTTTTGTCCAGCATGGGTTATCCATCAGACCGCTGAGCTGATGACCCACTAGCTGCATGGCTTCCAAACCATATGAGACATCAGCAGTACAGGATTTGACTTTGCTCAGATTTCCTGAAGACAGATATGAGTAAACTGCAGACATACGTACAGCTTGTCACCCCCGTGACTGCATGGTAGGGTAACGTTCCTGTGTGCATGTAACCATTACCCTAACAGAGCAGGAAAAAAGGAAACAGTGCAACTGAGTGTGTAGACATAGTTGCAATACAGAGAGGACTCTTAAGTGTGATTTCAACAGGAAATTAAGTAATACCTCCTATCATCTACACTGAAAAACTCCTTTGACCCGAGTATTTTCCAAGTCAGCTTACAAAAAACGTTTCTGGTGCCTCAAGTATGGATGCTGATGTAAACTAAAGCTTTGGAAACAGAAGCTCGTAGACCCAGCAGGTGGTATCTTGTCATTCCCAAGTTTTCTGCAACTATTTAGAGAAGCACTGCAACAGTCAACACTAATCTGTTTTCTCAGCCAAGTAACCGAAACAAGCAGTAAAAATAAGTGCAGAACAGAGAAATGTGGTTGGTTGCTCACACTTGAGAAACTTTGTACCTGACTTCAAAATTGGCTCACCTGGCCAGGCCTGCTGGTTTCAGTTCTCTGAAATCCAATCTGTACCAGTTTCAGAATCACTTTGGCTAAGCCAGCTTTAAACTGTTAAAAACTTCTGCTATGTAGACAGGCCGTAATTGCAATATAACTCAGAATGCGGTGAGGAAGATGGGGGGGAAAGTAAGCGCAGAGCAGTTAAAAAGAAACACGTTCTCTAAGGGAGAAGTATAGGTGTCTTACACTATTTTTAATTACTAGAGGATAAAATGTCAATGCAACAAGCTAATTTTTTTCTGTTTCTGTATTCCTCTGAATAAAAAAAATAAAGTTTTGGTTAAAAAAAAAATCTTAACATGAGGCCTTAAGACCTTATATATTCTAACTTTAGCATGGAGAGTCTATTTTTACAACCACGTTAGAAATTCTGTATATAGGCCAGACTGACCTTGTAAGTATAGTGGTGCTAGCAGCTAATCATGCAA